CTGAGAATATTAAACGTGTGTGAGCCATTATTGAAGAAAATCCGCATGCAACACATGATATAATTGAAGCCCTGACATCAATTAATCGTTTTATAATTAAATAAATCATTCACAACGCACTTAAAAAAAGAAAACTAACATCACTTTAGATATCCCGTGAGTTAACTGATCAAAATCAAAAGAATAGAGTTAAGGCATGTAAAGAAAATTTAGCCTTTTTCAGAAATGGACCATAGAGGCTATGTGATGTTGTTAGTGGGGATGAGTCGTGGTTTTACTTTAGACAAGTTGAACACAAGTTAGCTAACACTTGTCGGGTCAGTGAAGGTGAAAGTCTAAGAAATATAATAAGATACAATAGGTTTCAGCTGAAAAGCATTTTCTACATCTTCTTCAAAACAACACGAGCTGTTCATTTGGGTTGTTGAAAAGGGAAACACCATTACTAGCGAATATTATATAAAAAATTGTTTGAAAATTTTTGGAAATAATCTGCTCTCACCCCCTAAATGTGTTCTATCTAATGCAAAAACAGTGGGTTTAATTTTTTTTTGAATAAAAAATATTTTAAGGGGTCCCTCAAGACCCTCGAATATTTAATGGGTCCCTAAAATTTTTGAAAAAAAAGTTCTTCAAAAATATGTCAACCTGGTACTCAAATGAAGCGAAATTATATAAAAATTTTAAAAATAATATTTATTTCAAAACAAAATTGTTCTTTTTGGTTTTATTACATAAAAAATTGTGTTTTTTAAGAAGAAATAAAAAAAAATGCATTTCTAATGTTTTTTTATGATAATTTTGATAAATAAGTTAAAAATATTTCGAAATGAATATTATTTTTGAAATATTTATATAATTTCAGTTCATTTGAGTACCAGGTTGACATATTTTTGAAAAACTTTTTTTTCGAAAATATTAGGGACCCATTAAATATTCGAGGGTCTTGAGGGACCCTTTAAAATATTTTTTATTTTAAAAAAATTTAAACCTAGTGTTTTTGTATTAGATAGAACACACTTATGTTACAACTTTATTATTACTTAATTGAGTCATTGGTTTGTCAAAGTTTTTACTTACATTTCTTACGTTTATGCGTATTGCTTTATTTTCATAAGGTTGAATTTTTAAAATGCTGCAAAGTATTCACATTTAAATCTTTTAAAATTATTTTGATGTAAAAACTGCTATCACATTTTAGGAGAGGAGTATATGTAATCGTTTGTGACAGGAGGAAAAGGGTTAAAAATTGACAAATATAGGGTGACATGTTTATGGATGACCCCCAAATAAACGATTTGTGTTACTAAAACAAAAATAAAAAAGGTTCTTACTGATTTTTTTTATGTTAGGAGAAAGGCAAATAAATCTTTTTTTTTTAATGTCTAAATTAAAATATTTATATAATTCTTATTTTTATTTAATTACATTTTTATGTCAATCAAATTAAGAATACATAAAGAAATAAAAAAAAAGAATAATATAAATAATTTAATTGCACATAAAAATATAAAAAGTTTCAGGTAAAACCTTGTCAAACCAACGCGACAAAATAACAATTACTTAATGACATAATTCATTTTGTAAACAAAGACTTAATGAAAAAGCACCAGAATTTAAATAAATGGATGAAAACAAATTTTTTTAAAAATTAAAAAATGTATATAGTATATATTATTTTTATGTTTTTATTTTCTCATTAATATAAAATTTATATATGTATATTATTGTTATGTTTTTATTTTCTCATAAATAATTATAATAATAAATTAATAATAAAATAAGTACAATAACATGATAACTTTGTTTGGTATTTTCAGCGCGTTTTTAAAATGCGCCAGTTTTTAATATATGTAAAAAAATTGCGGCCAAGTTATCAACAAAATATATGCATGGTCATTCAAGGCAGGTAGCCGCACGTGTCTACTGAGAAGGCTTGGACATGTATCATATGCAGTAAATACATTTGTTAAAGAAACTATGTTTTTCTTTTATTTAACTTATTCTGTCATTACAAAGTTTGTTAAATAATATTTTTTACAAATAAATAACAATTTATTTTCTTATTTTCCTATTATATAAGTATTAAGAAAAAAGGTCAAATACAGCAAAAACATTTTTAAAAGCAAAAATATATAAATACGATAAAACATAAGAAAGGAATAAACATAAGAAAAAATTTTTAAATTTCTTATAGTTTTTCTTATTCTTATAATAATATATTCATTATTCTTATAGTATATTATAGCATGATAACAAATGTTTCTTAATTATATGGACTGCAAGCCTTGGTGTGCGGTTTTTTGTCTTGTATGACCACATGTGAGTATCTTATTTTAGACAACTTGAACATGGCCGTTCGCAAGTTTTATAATAATCATGCTGAAAAAGTTTCAAAAACAAAAAAAACAAAACTAACAAAATAAAAAGAGATTAAAATAGAAAAAAATAAAAACACATTAATAGTTTAAATTAAAAAAAAAAACAGTTTTACAAGCCTTCCTAGGAAAACCATGCAGTTTTTCGTCTCGTACGACCACAAAAACTTTTTTAATTTAGACAACTTGATCATGGCTGTTAGTGCAAGTTTTATTATATGTGTTGCTGAAAAATGTTTTAAATTTAAAAACTACATAAGAAATTAAAGTAAACTTAAATAGAAAAAAGTAATAGTTTAAATAATTTGTGTGTTGTTTTTATTTTTGTTTTTTCTTAATGGTTATTATTATCGACAACAAAATTCAGTAAGTTAAAAAAAAACAAACAGTTTTAAGCATTAAAAAGGATGACTTTCCAACATTTTATGTGTTTTTTCTTTTAAAGAGGAAAGAGAAAATATGTATCATCATCTGTTTGTAAAATATATTTTTATAATTATAATTATACAAATATATTTTACAAACAGATGATGATACATATTTTAACAAGTATATATCAAGAGTTAAATTATACGATCGCAATTTGCGAAAACATGAACTAAAATTTTAAAGACCAAATATAATAAAAACAAAACAAAAACTATAAACTTACAACTACAAAAGTAATAACACTTTAGTCACTAACTGCATTATAAAAGTAATAAAACTATAATAGTGTTATTACATTTATAAAGCACTTATTACTTTTAAAGTTCATTCTTTGTTCAAACAACATTATTAATTCCAAACATTTAATAATGTAGAAAAGCATCTAGAAAAAATAAAGTAGATATTAAAATAATAATAAAAATTTCAGGAACTTTTACAGATCACTTAAACAACGTTATAAAATAAAATTTTATGAAAAGTATAGCATGAAAAACGTAAAAAGTGCGCGTTAATTTTAAAATCAACCAATAAAAAATTTTTATTGGTTAATTTTAAAATTAACAAGCATTTTTACGGTCCATTAGTAACATTTTTCATAATGCTAAACTTTTAATATGTTATTTTTTACAAAGTTTTTTGTCGCGTTTTTATAAGTTATTTAAGTTTTAAATATTATTTGAACATCCACTTTATTCTTCTAGATATTTTTCTACTTCAATTAAAATTTTGGTATTACTTATGTTGCTTGAACAAAGAAAGAATTTTAAAAGTTATAAGTGCGTTATTAAGGTAAGTAAAAGTTATAAGTGCGTTACTAAGTAATCGTAAGTTTATCGTTTTATTTTTTATTCTTTCGTTTACACATTTGAGTTGATTCGCCCCTTAAAAACAAGGAACATGGTTTTGTATAAACTAAAATTTTGAATACTAGATATTTTTCCAGATTTTGCGTTTTGCATTCGCCTAATTCAACCCTTGTTATTACATTATTATTGTTCTTACATTAAAATTATACAAATATGTTTTACAAGCACATTGCAATTTATATTTTTGCTATCCTCTTAAAAAAATTTAAGAAAAGGAAAATCATTCTTTTTATTTGTAGACTTCAAACTGTTTTTTTTTTTTTTTTTTTTGCTTTGCCTTAATTTAATTCTAATTTTGTTGCTGAATGTAACAACTAGTCTAAAGAAACAAAAATAAAAACAGTTCACAAATAATTTGAACTATTAATGTGTTTTTATTTTTTTCTATTTTAATTTCTTTTTATTTTGTAAGTTTTGTTTTTTTTGTTTTTAAAACTTTTTCAGCATTGATTATTATAAAACTTGCGAACGGCCGTGTTCAAGTTGTCTAAAATAAGATACTCGCATGTGGTCATACAAGATGAAAAACCGCACGCCTTTTCTAGGAAGACTTGGTTTCAAGTCTACAGTAAAAAGAATAACTTTTCTTTATTTAACTTTTTTTTTAAGAGGAAAACAAAAATATAAATTGCAATTTGTTAGTAAAATATATTTGTATAATTTTAATGTAACAATAAGGATTAAGTTAAGCGATTGCAAAAATGCAAAATCTGGAAAAATATCTGGTATTCAAAATTTTAGTTAATGCAAAGTTGTGTACTTTGTTTTTAAGGAGCGAATCAACTTAAATTTATAAGCGAAAAAGTTATAAAAAATAAAACTAAACTTATGACTACAAAAGTAATAACACTCTAGTCACTAACTACATTATAAAAGTAGTAACACTATAATAGTGTTATTGCTTTTATAAAGCACTTATTACTTTAAAAGTTCAATCTTTGTTCAAACAACTTTAGTAATTCCAAACATTAATTAAAATAGAAAAGCATCTAGAAAATATAAAGCGGATATTCAAATATTATTAAAAACTTCAAGAACTTTTACAAATCACTTGAACAACTTTATAAAAACGTACTTGATAAAAAATTTAACGTTATGAAAATTGTTACTAATAGTCTGTAAAAACATGCATTAATTTTAAAAGCAACCAATTTTTATTGGTTGATGTGTAGTCATTCAGGAAAAAAAAACTGCACGCCTTTCCTAGGAAGGCTTGGACTTTATTTTATTATAAAACTATTTATTACAATTTTTAATATTAATAATAATATTTAAAACTGTATTATTTTAATAGTGATATTAAACTATATCTTATCTTATTTGTTAGTTATTATGATCCGCAACCTTTTCAAGATGAGGAGGACGCAAACAATTACAGGTATGGTCAAAATTACAGGAGTTTACAATCTGGGCAAAATGAATCTTCAATAAAAGGTAAGTTGGAACAAAAGTATTGGAAGTCAAAGCAGAAAGTTATTGAGAAATTGGGAAAAGGTCAGGATGAGTTTGTTATTGCCGGTGATGCAGAGGTTGACTCACGTCTAGAAGTAATTTTTTTTTTTTTTTTTGCTTTTGATTTTTTCAATTTTTGATGCACTTTATGAATTAGTTTTAAATATTTTTCACTAATCTAAGTATAAGTTAAATTACATTAATTTGCATTAATAGCATTATACATACACACAAATATGCACACACACATAAACATAAACATAGTTAAGCCAAAAAGATCTAGCCACCAATATTTATAGCGAAAAGTACACTACAGCTTATGGATACTTACTACCAGAAAATGTTTTATTTAAAAAATTTACATAAATATAAAAGAATAATGAAGTCTCAGTATAAAATATTTTTTAGTTCTTTGAATGGGCTCCTCAAACTTTTAGAACAGTTTCTATTCTTTTTGACATTAAAGCAACTAGAGACTCACAGTTGCTACTAGCAACAAAAGATTCACAGTATTAGTGTATTATTTTATGACACCTTGCTTTTATTATGGCCTTTTTTAAATCTGTAAAATTGGATTCTGTTTAGAAAATCTGCATTCAATTTTAATCAACAGCTTTTTATGGAGTTAAAATAAGTGTATTGTTTGGCCTCAATATTATCAATAACATTTCCTTGGACCCATGCCTTGAAAATTTTTCCTGATAGCAAGTTGCCTCGTACATGAAAATTTTCAAACTTATGTAAACCAGCATGACTATTGGCAGCAGTTGCACCCTAAATCATAATTGCTGGAAATTTTGCTTATCAGAAGATCCCATGTATTGGGGATTGAAGCGTGAGTTTGGTGGCCAGCAAACATTAACTTTGCATGCTGCAAACTGCTTAACTTGCGCTTTGTCTGAGTATTTAAAAGTTCAATCCTTGTGTTTTTTGCAAAGTTTAAGGCAATCGCCTCAAATATTAGCAACTCTTATGCAACTCAATATGATGAAAAATTAAAGTCTATGGCAAGTGCAGGCTTCATTTTAAATTAAAAGTGCATAGCACATTAGCTCTTAGTAAATTTGACGTCTTAAAATTATTTTTTATTTTTTTTTTATTCTGATTTATGGACATAAACTTTTTTAAACTACCCCAATAAAAAAAATCACAGCAAAACGAGTTTACTAATTAAGAAAAACAAATCTAGAAGTGTTATTTTCTAAATGTACATAATTGTGGAGTGTCTATATTTTTTAATTTTTTTTTTTTTTTTTAGTATTAAGTTAATAAGTTTAATATTACATTTTTTATTATCGTTTAACATAAATGATTTCTTTCTTTTCTCTGCATTTTTATAAATGAATTAAAATATGTTAATTTTTTTTTTCATTATTTCTTAAAATTGTGTGCAAATAATAATGATTTTTTTACTTTTAATAAGTTTTACTAAAATAAAAAATATTAATGCAAAAAAAAAAAAAACTCAAGTTAATTACTTTACCAGTACCTTTTTTTTGTGTCAAAGAAAGATTTAAGTTTATTAAAGCAAGTACCATTTATATAAAAATATATACCTTTGCGCTTTCACTTGTCTTATGAAAAAAAATAATAAATGTAAGCTTTATAAACATTTTTGATGCGGTGTTATAACATGTTTATAAGGAATTTAAATAACTTTTTTAATCAAAAATCTTTCTAAATTGTAAGAAAATTTCTGTTTTTGATATCACACAATCTGTATAAATCATATAAGATCTTTTTTTTTTTTTTTCTATTGCTGAACATTTTTGATGGAAAAGAAAATGTTCTTTGTTTTTTTTTTAACATTATACATTTTTAAATAATATCAAATGTAATTATCATTTAAATTTTTTTACATTATTGTCATTTAAACTTCATAAGTGGTTTTTATAGCGTTAATTACTCTATTTATCTTGTCACTTAAGCAATATCTTTAAACTTTTTTAAATATTAATAAATTATAAAAAGTGGCTCAAGTGAAATGGCTTATGTCTTACATTAAATGGCTTAATACATACATAATTGGCGCTCCATTTTTTTGTTTTTTTGTTTTTTTTGTTTTTTAATTCACCTTCCTAAGGCCGAGAAGGCCACTTAATTGTGGTTATAATACATGCATTAATGTACACATTAGGAGACAGTTAAGCTTGTGAGCTTGAAATCTGTATGTCATTCATAGCCGGGTGTATCATTTTATCAAATGTATCATGTCGGTTTCGGACTGGGTAATTCTTGGTCTCTCACTGAGTTTTCCTGAATTGATGCCATCTATTGACTTAATTTGCTGAATGATATCATGTCATAAGAATATCATGAACAATTGTCTTAGGCTTCTTCCATTATTCCTTGATTCATTAAAAATTGTATTTGAGTATGTTTAGCCAATAATGTTGTAGTGTTTCTCTGATATAATAATGATTTAATTACACATGATTTTAATATATAGAGAGCATGTAAAATATTTTCTTATTGGCTAATAGTTACTTAATCACCCTCGCAACACATGTTGCAACGTAAGTTGTCAGTATTTTGTGTTTATAATTATCTATAATAATTATAAGTGGTTGGATCTTTTTAGCCTTAACTGTGTGTGTATATTTATATATATATATATATATATATATATATATATATATATATATATATATATATATATATATATATATATATATATATATATATATATATATATATATATATATATATATATATATATATATATATATATATATATATATATATATGTATATATATATATATATATATATACATGTATTTATATATATTTTTTTTATTGTAGGCATTCCAGCATATCAAGTTAACATGTATTCAACTTATGACTGCAATTGAGTTTTATCAAACACGAATTTTCGGTTAGATTATGTGTCATCAAAGTATTTCTAGTAGTGTACACTAATATATTTATTCAATCTATATAAGGATGATATATTTCTAGTAATGTACACTAATATATTTAATCTATATACGGATGATTTATTAACATAATTAGTAAATTGCAGGCTATTAAGAAATATGACTATAAATTTCCAAAATATACATTATTCACAGAAATTTTAAAATAAACAAAAAAATTCATTTATTATGTAAGTTATAGATAGTTTATAAAATTCTTTAATTTGATTTTAAATGATTTTAAATGGAATTTAGCTTTTTACTTTATAGTTTAGGGAAAAGTGACCAATTAATTATTTTATTTTTTTCTGACAAAATGAACAATGGTTTATCGCCCTTCTTTAGTAGGCTAAAGAATAGTCCAAGGGGCAGCAATGTCCAACACCTATTTGGGCCCCTGCTAATTAGCAGAAATACCCCCTATTAATAGACAACTTGAATTTATTATTATTTTTTTTTTTTCTTAAGCACTAATTTATTTGATACAGACTGTCTAACAATTTTTAAAAAAAGAACTTTTAAAAAAAATTGTTCTAATTAGTAAAACAAATTGACAAAATAAATTTGCATAACCAAATTAAATATTTTAATACTAATGGTCGAGCAGAAAAAAAGAGGTCATAAGTTAAAAATCAATGGAGCCAATAAAAATGCAAAATAACTACAAGTTTAACACAATCAGACAAAAAATTTTCTCTAATAGAGTTGTAAATTACTGGAATGTACTAACACAAGAAATCATTGAGTCAACAAATCAATTTAAGAACCACGTTGATAAATCTTTAAATTTTAACCTCAAATCTCAGATCTTGTATTATGTTTTTAATCCTTGTTAAATTTTTGGGTTGTTATAGACTGAAGTTCTGCGTAACTTGAGTTTCAACTCTTATGAGTTACAGCGTCATTTCTGTAATTCTATAAATTAGCCAGTTTTTAATCTGATCTCTCTTCTCTAACATCTTAAGGCTTGCAAAGGCTTGTGGATTTAAATTGTGGACTTATCTACAATATTTTTTAGGCAACAAAACTCATTTATTTACTGCAAAAAGTATTGAAATATTGTTGGGATTCCTATATTGATGAAAAACAAACCTCTTGCTCTCAGACAATGTCTTAAAGCACATTGTAAATGTAATTAGATCTGCTTTATCTGCTAAGCTTGAACCACTCTGCCGTTGTTTTAAGGTTGCATTTCTTTTTTTTTTCGACAAATTTTATCATGGTCCATTTTGTGTGCCTATCTAAATTTAAAGAATTTTATTTTTAATAAAGGTTCTAGTGTTATGTAAAATGTTTTATATACTTGATGAACAGATCAGTTGTAATCCAGCCATTTTTTTAGCATTCTCCAATTGTTTCAATGGGAACATTGAAACAATTGGAGAATGCTAAAAAATGACTTCAAACTTATTTTGAAGTCCCCAAAATTGTTAGGACCTTGACATTGTCTTTGTCTACAGGTAAATCTGGCCCTTATTATAGCCTTTAAATTGAAACCAGTTTTTGTAATTTAAAAAACGGTTTTTAATTTTGTCAAATTTATAATAAAAAGCAGTTTTCTAAACTGGTTTTGAAAACCTGTCAAACTCTAGACATCACCGTCCAACCAGTTCTGAAACTTGTCTCAAACCATTTTGACATTTTAATTGCTTTCTCTAATTATTCTAAATCCAACATTTTCTTCATACTTAAAATAAAATGCAACCTTTTTATATCTATATATTTTTAACAATTGCCATTAAATCTATTACTTTTTGTGTATTTTTTTTTTAATAAATACAATAATTGCTTTGGTTACTATTCATTCTCCAATTGTTTCAATGGGAGATGATCTATGAAATCTAATTTTCTCTTAAAAATCATTCATTTTCTCTTAAAAATAATCATTAGCGGAATAAATTGTCCAGTTATGTTCAAAGCACAAATAATGGTAGTCATTACACTCCGTTCACCACTAGTTACAGAGGAAACACTGTTTTCCTTTTTTGTTGTAAATTTAACAAGGGTATGTACTGTAATAATGCCTGATTCATCACAGTTAAAAATTTGGTGAGGTTCAAACTTGTATTTTTTCATAAAAATTTCTATATTATTGAAATAAATGTTCATAGAATTGTGGTTTAAACCATAAACATGGTTTAAAGACAACCATTGAGGCTTTCTTATTGAAAGGTCTGGATATCTCTTCAAAAATCCACTTACTAAATCTCTTCCTGCAACACCATTATATTTATTAAATAGGTGAACAATATTATACTTTTCGACATACTGGAAGGCAATTTGTTGAATACCATTTATGGACAATCCTTAATAAACTGAATCAGCCTTTTCTGTTTGAAATTTAAAGCCAGCGCACAAAAAAGCGCTGGCAGGATGGTCATTTTTAAGTTAGCCTGCGCGATTTAAAAAATTTAATTTTTTCTGCTATTTAAATTAAAATAAAAACAGCAAAAAATGCTATGAATAAATACTAGATAAAAAAGTTCAAAAAATAAACTGGTAAAAAAAACATTTTTCATTAAAGTTGAACAAACGAACAAAAAAGTTTTCTTGCAGTTCAAAACAAACCATTTTTAAAACTTTTTTTTAAAAAAACATTCAGATAATTTTTAAAACATGCAGATTATTTTTAAAAACACTTTTAATATTTTAGTGTTAAATATTGTAGTTTTAAAAAAAAAAAAAAATTTAATTAGTTTCTTTAATTTAATTAATGTGTTTTGGCAATCTGATCTTAATTTTAACCAATTTGACCTTAATTTTGTCTTGTTAGATGTCATAGAGTAGTTAAGTGTTGTTTTTATTTAATACGGTAAGTTTAAGACTTTTACTATGGGATTATATATATATATATATATATATATATATATATATATATATATATATACACATTTACAGGTCTTGTAATGAAGCTGGAGCAATTGCTTTGCGCACGTGAAACATGTCTATAAATGTTCTTCCGGGCGCAATATATAGCGCTCGCTAATTTCGTTTTAAGAGTAGAAAATTGTTCTTGTCTGAAGGACTTGCAAGGAAGAAAATTATTAGTTGATTTTACAGAAAATAATTTGGCAAAATTTTTTTGCTATTGTCAAAATATGTTTAATTAAACAGTAGAATTGTTAAATAATACTGACGAAGTTATTTTCATTATGAAGTATGTCACGCATAAATTGAAATTAAAAATCTCAGTGCCAGAGAGTCAATGATTTATTTCTTTTATTTGAAAGTTAAATTCAACATAACGTTTTTTCTTTAATTTCTATTGAACATAATCATACCATAGAACATAATCAGCCAAACGATTTGCTAACTCTCGCAGTTTTTTTAGGTCCATTTGACAAAAAACTTTGCTTAACTATAGAACAGCATTTAAGTCTTTGTAATAAAATAACAAAACTTGCAACACTTCAAAAAAAACTCCAAAATTTTGAATGCTTTAAAATTAAATATCCAGTGTAAAATTTTATTTGGAATTATTTATTAAACTAAAGCTTCGTTAATAGCTTCAATTTCGTACAGGTTTGATCAGATTCTATTAATTAATGACTATTATATTTAATTTATTAAACTAAAGCTTCGTTAATAGCTTCAATTTTGTACAGGTTTGATCACATTCTATTAATTAACGACTATTATATTTAAAATGCAAAAACTAAATCAAATTCAAAACATTCAAATATCAAATACTTTAGTGTCAAATATAAATTAACAAACTAAATATTTTTACTGATATCTTCAAATAGCGTACTGTTTTGGTGATGTCAAATTGTTTGTTTGTCCAAATATCAATCCCATAACCACTAGCGTTTTTAAGAAATTCTTCTGTTTCTGTGTAATGTTTGTCCAAATATCAATCCCAGAATGCCTTACGTTTCTGAAAAAATTTATTTTCATAACACAAACGGTACGCTATTGGTTAAGCCAATTAAAAGATATGGGGTGGGAAGTCTATTTATTAAAAAAGTTGAAGCTAAACAAAGCTAAAAATTACAACTATAGCAGAAAGTTCAAAATATAAATCTCTTCTAGTTAATGGGATTCTACTGTTTATTATTATTTGTTATATGTATTGTTTATTGAAACTTTGAGAAGCGTGCTCACAAACAATAAAAGAAAAAATATAGTGTCACTAGTTTCATGCCTTCATGACCTGGTTTTTACTGTTTGTAATAAACACATTTCTATAAATATACATAAGTATATAAATTATTTATATATTATATTTGTATAAGTATATATATATATATATATATATATATATATATATATATATATATATATATATATATATATACTTCTACTAATATATTTTATATTAGTAGTAGTATTGTAGTAGTAGTATATTATATAATTATAATTTTATTAATTATATAATTAAGTATTAAAAAATAATTCACTTGATAATAATTAAATCGTGCATTTAGTTTAAATTAGAAAGCAGAGTGCAGATTCACAAAAACATTTCGTAACTCTTACATAACTTACAGAAACTGTAAGCAAATTTATTTTTTTGTAACTATTTGGTATTCACAAACATTTCGCGGTGTTTGCGTAAAGCTAAGGTTGTGTAAAGTTAAGGTTGTGCAAAAATTTAAAGTTATGCAAAAAATCTATAGATTTTTTGCGTAAATTTAAATTGTGTTAAATTATAAACAAATGAGAAATCATGCGTTTACATTTTAACTAAAATAACCAAGGTAGTAAAAATCAATAAAGCAGTTATTATATATACTCAACTACTTTTGCAATTACTATAGTAACTTTTTTTTGAGTTTAAATCTAAGAGCATTGGTAAATTAGTGAAAATAAATTTACTTGACAAAAAATTATGAAATTAAATTTAATCAATATTTTAAGGAATTATAGATACATATAAAAACTCTATTAAAATACGCTTTATTTGAGAGGTTGACATACTTTTGAATAATTTTTTTTTGACAATATTATGAACTTTTATCCCTGAGAAATGGTATAATAAATCATATTGTTAGTTCAGCAACAAAAAATTTTTGTTGTTGTTGACCTGTGCAACTATTAAAAGGACTATTTTAACAGAGTCATATTTATAGAAATTAATTAAAATGTTAGTTAGGGCTTTTAATAATTTATAATCTAGTTGAGTTAAAACTGCTATTAGAGTATTAATTACCTGTTATAAATATTTAATAACTGCAATCAATTTTATAACATCTATAACAACTACAATAAATTAAGGTGGTCAAATTTCTAAAATCATTTATTTTCAACTAATATTATTATTTTTCAGATAATTTTAAAAAACTGCTTTAAAAAAAATAAAAAATAAAAATTTCACATTTGGACCCTAGTTTTGTGTCACAAACCTTAAAAAAGCCAGGAGATTCGTTGATAGGTATTGAGATAATGGTAGATCCTATGAAAGCTCAAACTTCAGTATTTACTTATAATATAACAAGAAGCAAAATCATTTAGTTAGCTTAAAGTATGAAGATGTTATAGCATAAACAACTAATTAGCCAAAATTTATCCCAAAATAGCTCACTTGAGACCATAACTCTGCTCAAGAATAAAATCAAAAAAATTTATTGCTTCAATGAGTTTATTATATATATTACTTCAATTTAATTATTACTACAAAGAACTACAACAAGTACTGTTGTAGTGCTGATTCAAGATATTTATTGCATCATGCTAAAAATAGTATTTTTTCAAAAAAACACTTTAAGATAATTAAAATTGAAAAAAATAAGTTAAGATATAATGAACTTTTATTATAACAAGTTAAGATATAATGAACTTTTATTATAACAAAGTTAAGGTATGAACTTTTATTATATATAACAGATATTGAAAAAAATAAGTTAAGATATGAACTTTTATTTCATTTCTAAAGATTTGTTATCTCTCCTCTATCTAAGAGCAGTAGTCTAATTTTATAAAAGCAGTCTAAACTTATACAAGTTTTTTTTATAAGCTTTTCTAACATGTTTTCATGAGATAAATCAATAAATATTCTCTAATTACAACAGGCTGTCCTGGTTTTTCTCTTTGCACATATTTCAATAATATTGGCTGCTTGGAATTTGCACCAGGTATTAGTAGTTCCACAACACATTGAATGTCTTACTTCTGGAAATGATGCCTCAAACTCACAAAACCACAGCTTTTGTAATGTCCTTTTGAATTTCATGCATTGCAATCACTAAATATAGATTTATATCAAAAATCATTAGAATTTTTATTTGAAACTTTTTTACTGGTATAGAACTTCATATTCCATAAATACTCAGTGCAATTAAATAGCAACAAAGAACTTCAATTTTTTTATATATATAATCTATATTCATGTTAATAGACTTCATCTCATAGTCAGGGCATGCTCAAACAAAGGCAAGAGATTGTATAATAATACCGTCAAAATGTTTCATTTTTAATCTTCTTTACGTGTTGGGCATTTACAGTTACATGAGGAGTGTTTTTACTTTAGGAGGATTGGTCCTGTTGTGGTTTTGCCATGTTATTTTCCATCCTTGTTTTCTTAAATTGTTTCAAACATGGAATGGCATAATTTATATTCGGCTTATTTAAAATTAGGTAAACTACTATCAATAGGACTGCTGGACTTTTGGAAAAAGGAGCCTGGACCTTCTCCAGCATCTTTTACTCTTCCTGCGGCTGTTAATACTGATGAGGAAGGCATCACCATACTAACTTTTTAACTAGGTCTCCACTTAGTGAGTCTTTAATGGCTCCTAAAGTAGAAATTTTTTTTAACTATTTGATAATATCATCTTTCTATTAATATTAATCACATTGTCCTACAAAATATTAATCACTTTAATATTTTTAATATTAATCATATTGTCCTACAAAATCTTAATCAAATTAATATTTTTAATATTAATCACATTGTCCTACAAAATATTAATCACTTTATTATTTTTAATATTAATCACAATAATATTTTTAATATTAATCACATTGTCCTACAAAATATTAATCACATTAATATTTTTAATATTAATCACATTGTCCTACAAAATATTATTCACATTAATATTTTTAATATTAACCACATTGTTTTGCAAAATATTAATCACATTAATATTTTTAATATTAATCACATTGTCCTTCAAAATATTAATCACATTAATATTTTTAATATTAATCACATTGTCCTACAAAATATTAATCACATTAATATTTTTAATATTAATCACATTGTCCTACAAAATATTAATCATGTTAATATTTTTAATAATAATCACATTGTCCTACAAAATATTAATCACATTAATATTTTTAATATTAATCACATTGTCCTACAAAATATTAATCACATTAATATTTTGTCATAATCACATTATCCTACAAAATATTAATCACATTAATATTTTTAATATTAATCACATTGTCCTACAAAATTTTAATCACATTAATATTTTGTAGGACAATTTTTACATTCAGGAACAGCTTCGCATCTATGAGGCATAAAGTCAAGTTAATTCAAACATCAATGGGAATTCTAAAATTTCTAAAATTTTTGTAAATAAATTTGCATAATTTGAAAGTTTGATGTCTAATATTTTATGGTCAACATGTTACCATAAATAATCGATGGCATTATCCATTGATTATTTATGGTAGCATGTATATTTATCCAATGTTATATCCAACCATGAGATATTTTATGTTTTTTAGTATATAAATGGAGCGGGTCAACACCATCCCGACTAAAACATCCTAAAACCATTACATTTTAACCTCCATGTTTTACGGTAAGCAGTTAAAATTTGAGATCGTGTTTTGTATCTACTGGATATCAAACTCAAATCCATCTGATCTGAACTGTGTAAACTTGTTTTTGCTCCTAAAGAGATTTTTTGACTATGGAGCATCTAAACTGGTGTAGTTAATGTTGACTACTCCAGTTTAGATGCTGTGATGCTAATTCTTCTCTAGCGTTTCAGTTTTTCAGGTAGATCAATGGCTTTTAGGCTGGGCATCTTCTAAACACATTGGCATGTCGCAAACACTGTAGTAAAAATATTAAAAATAATTCCATAAAAACGTTTCATTTGTTCATTTAAATCAATAGCTGTAACGTAAAGAAAAAAATTTAAATCAATAGCTGTAAACGCTTGCAATATTTAGCAACAAAAAACCACAAATGTGGTTTTTTGTTGCTAAATATTGCAAGCGTTTTATTCTAATAATAACTTATTTTGCGTGGTTTTCCTGATTTCTTTTGAAATTTTGTGGATCCTGTAAAATTCAAATTAAATAATAAATTGTTTTACTTTTGTTCAAAAAAATAATTTAGGAATATACTTAAGCAAATATAATTCGATTTATTAAACCAAATTTTATCTCTCACTTTTTATTACAAAGCGATTGAAATGAAAAAATTGAATGAAAATGTCATCTTAAAAATTGTTTGAATGAAGAATTAAATTATACTTAAATTTTTAACAGTATGATAAGCAATAAATTAGGAAAAACATGGTTTAATAAGTATTAATTTCAAAACCTTCTTTTTTTTAAAAAAACAAACATGAAATGTTTGATAAAGTGTTACAAATTGTCAAGTTTATCAACTAGAAAACTGTTAACTTAAAATTTGATATTCCTTGATTTTTTGCATCTGGAGTTTGTTAATAGCTAAAGCTGTTTTATATCATTTTAAAACATTTAGTTTACATCTGTAATAATGTATAGGAACACGTATACTTTTATTTTAACTGGCTGATAATATACTATTTGATATAGCTTTGTCTCAAGATGAAAATGAAATGGGTCGTTTTCTGCGTGATCAAGGAGCTACTGATAAAACAAAAGCTGGAAAAATGATGATCTCTGTGGGTAAAGCTCAAAGCTTTGCAGCTCAGCAAAGGTTATATATATATTTTTATTGTTATTATTTGATAGTTAGTGAACTTTCTGTTTTTTTGGTTATTTTTTACCTTTTTTAGTTATTATTTACATTGAATATTGTCATTTTAAATATATTTGAACAACTTTTATACAGTAAGAAAATGTTTTGACCTAACATATATTCCATTCCATTCTCATATTTTATTTATAAGAGGTAAATATTTGTAGAAGTACCTAATGAATCCAAATTACAGAAATTTTATTTTTTTATATTTTATATTTTTGATTTATTTTAAATAATAAAAACAAACTGAACTAACAAAGTTTAAATATATTAGGGGTCTTTCATAAAATATGTACACAGGTATTGGGGGGAGTTATCCAAAAATCTACTAATGTTTACGAGGGGGTGTTAGAAATTCAATTTGACTATCTCTCATTTTCTCTCCCATAAAACTTGTTTTTTTTTTCAAAAAAAAAGCAATGAATTTCATGATTTTAAAAAATCATTATTACAGTATGCAATGAAGAAATTATAAACTAAAAATTTTTTTTTTAATGTTTTGAAAAGCGTATGTTTTTGAGAAGGGTGATTTTGTAATAAACATATGCTTTTAGGAAGGGTGATTTTGTAATAAATGCATACTTACACAGAGGGAGGGAGGTTGTTAAAACCATCACGGTGTGTACAAGGGGAGAAAAGAGGTCCTAAATCAGTAGTTTTATTACGTGCATATTTTATTGTAATTGTGCTAAATTTAAACTTGCATATTAAAATGATGAACTAAGATAATATATATGTAAAAATTAATGTATAGCTGTAAAAATTGTAAACATGTTAAAATTAATGTATAGATGTAAAAATTGTAAACATATGTAGATATTAATGTATAGATGTAAGAATTGTAAACATATGTAAAAATTAATGTATAGATGTAAAAATTGTAAATATGTTAAAATTAATGTATAAATGTAAAAATGGTAAACATATGTAGATATTAATGTATAGATATAAAAATTGTATGTGTGTGTGTGTGTATATATATATATATATATATATATATATATATATATATATATATATATATATATATATATATATATATATATATATATATATATATATATATATATATATATATATATATAATTTTTTTCTCCAAATTTAAATTTTATTTTAGATTAAGTCTACGTACTCCTTTAGTTCGTCTATATGCTGAGTTAGAAACCTTTCGTTTTCGTGCAATACAAGATACTCAAATGACAGTTGAAAAAATGGAACAGGCTCGCTCAGATTATAGAGCTCGTCTTTTGTGGATGGCAGACATTTCTAAAGAACTAGACCCTGATCAAAATAAAAGGCTTGGAAAATTTAGGGATGTAAGTTATTGTAAAAGTGTTAATTTATCAAAAGTGTCATTCATTACTCTTCGCCAATATTTTAACTTTATTATTTGATTATATGTTTTATTAATACCTCATCGTCAAGGTCAGGCAACATCTTATTCTATTACCACTTTATTTATTACAATTTATTTAATTCCTCTCCATTTATCTACGACCTCATACTGTCTATATGCTTTTTTTTTGAACTTTTATAATAATGTTTTACACGTAACAAATTTTATTCTAGGTCCAAATTCAAGTTAAATCTGCAAAAGCTCTCTTTGATAAGTTAAAAGTAGATGTTGTTCAAAAAATTGATTTATTATCTGCAAGTCGTTGTAACCTTTTGTCTGCAACTTTAGAGCCTTATCAGACTGCAATGATAAAATTTTTGAGTACTACTGCTAAAAGCTATACAGCTGTTTACGCACAGTATCAGGGTCATCCTTCCTATCAATTTCAAATTTTAAAGCACATAATACCAAATAATGGTATTGCTGAAGATGAGGAAGAAGAAGAAGAAAGAAATGAAGAAGGAAAGCTTAGTCAAAATCAAAAATCAAAAAATCGAAAAGTAAAAAAAAATGAAAAAGAAAAAATAGAAAAAGCCAAAGATGAAATTTTAGATAATAAAGATCATGATGTTGAATTAGTAGACAATGATAATGATGATAAATTGATTAATTTTGATTGTTCGCCCGTCACAGAGGATGTTCCGATTCAAAAATCAGAGTTTAAATCAGAGCCTTCCAAACAGTCAGATGATTTGTTAGTTAGCTTGCAAGATACTAGTCCTGTGTTTGGTGAATTTACAAATATACAAGACCAACAACCTGAAGGCAATGATAATGGTTGTTTTTTGTTGTTTTATTTTTTATAAATTGACTTTAATTGAATTGACTTGAAGTTTACTAATATAATTTATTTTTATATATATATATCTTTTTATTTTTATTTTAAGTTAAAACTTTTCATTTCATTTTTATTTTTAATATTTAAAGGATTTGAGGATCTTCTTGGTCAGTTTGAAGAAAATAATATTCCACCAAGTATGTCCGTCGGCAATCCTGATTTATTAAAGAAAGATCAGTGTGAGACAAAAAGTAAATTTGATTTTTCTTTTTATTTACATTACTAATGTGAAAAAATCACAGAAAATCTGGTTTTTATAATTTGAAAATTTTACTTCTATGTTTACTAAACTTATTAAATAAGAAACCAATTCACTTTGCTTTCAGCTTACTTATATTTATGTTTACAAATATGAGTAAGCAAATAAGTTTAAATAAAATTATTTAAAACAATAATACTATACAATTTTTTAAATTGTTTTTAATTTTTTAACTTTTTACACTTAACAACTGAATAGTTTTGATGTTGAATATTGTATTGAGTATTTTCATATTGTATAAGTGATTTAGTAAATATTTTGTAATTGCACTGTCATTGAAAAAAGTTTAATATGTTAATAATAATAAGTTAATTAGAATTTAACATTGTTAAAGTTTACTACAATTTTTTGATTTTTTCAATTATTTACAATATAAAATTATTTCTACAAACAGTTTGTTTTATTATTTTTTTTTTAAATACAAACATTTATAAAATGATGCTAAATTTGAGAGTTTAAAATTGGACTCTATTCAAAAACTTCTTTTCTATACGAAATAATTTTGATCAAAGTTAATTCAATATAAAGTTACATATCGAAATCTATTGAATAACGTAATTTTCATAAAAAATTTTTTTCAATTTAAAAATTGGTCAAACTAAGTATTTGTATCCAATGCAAAATCCTATAGGATCCTGTAGAGCTTGTTTTACCAAAATTGTATGCGTTAACATTACAAAATGTGTTTCCCTACCAATTATGATAATATAAAATAAATTTGTCTGTAAAATGCCAATGGTTGATTCAATGATCTCTTGCCACTGGGTTTTTTTTTTAGATATAGTAATCCAAGATATAGTGCATATATTAAATGTCATGTTGTGTGTTGTGCTACAAATGACTACAGTTGCAAAAATAATGTTTTTTATTTTATTATTTTTTTTTTTTTGTGCAAAAAAAACTTTTTTTATTTGTTTTTTAAATTTTTTTGGTTTTTTTGAACTTTCGATTTTTTAGATTAAAAATTTATAACGTGTTATATTGAAGTTTAATATAATGTCAACAATTAAAACAAAAATTTTTAATGATTGTTTAAATAATAATTTAAATTATTTTTTAAACAACAGTTTACTGAAATAACCTTACCAAACATACAGAATTTTTAGTAACGTTGGTTCAGTAACTCGATTTAGTAACATTGTCCTGTTAAATTCTCGTCTTTGACCTTGAGTCATAGATTATTCTGCATTGCACATTTAATTTTTGAGATCTAAATTATGGGAAATAAAAACTAATTTTAATATATATTTGATAAATAAAATTTTTTTTGTAAAGGAAAAATGGTTTATAGAAACTTTTTTGAATTTCTTTCTGAAATAACAAAACAAATTTCATCTTTCACAAAAATTTTTTGTTTAGGTAAGATTTTGTTCTAAACAAAAAAATTTTGTTTAGAACAAAATATAACTAACAGTATTAGATCGTATTGAAGCATATGAACAGCATAGCAATATAACACTACAACTAGATCAAAAGCACCTTTTACAGACTAACAAAATTTAATCTTCAAAAACAACCTAGTGGTTTCCCATTAATTATGTCAACAATTTTTTGGCAATTTTTACCTCCCTTTCCCCCCTTGTCAAAAATTTGTAAAACTTTCAGTTTGACAAATTTTTGACAAAAAATAGCTCCCCTCTTCCTCTGCCTCCTCCTCCTTTTATAAAATTGCATCAACATTTTACTCTTCTTACACTCCCCATCCCTCCCCCACATCCCTCATTTAGAAGATTAAATGAAAGAAAACATCCTTTTTTTTTTTTTTTTTATAATTTAATTTATTTCAAAAAGTAACATTGTTTGTGTCAACTTTTCTTGACCTCCCCTCTTCCCCTTGTAAACAGTTATCAAAAGTTTTCAACTTCTCTCCCCTATTTTGTTGACAAAATTAATGGACATATCCTGACTATATTTAAAAATTTAATACAGTTGTATTATAAAAAAGTAACTTTACAAAACATAGTTTTGCTTATATTTTGCGGTTTTTTTAACATAGATGTTTAAATAGTTTTAGCAAATGTATAGTTTAATATACATTATATTAAATAAAAAAAACATGTATATTTCAAGGTTTATTAGAGATGGAACTGTTTCAAGGTTCATTAATATCTAAAGTTTAAAGAATACTTTAAAAGAACTTATAAAAAACATGTTTTTAGGAGTGCTCTGTTGTTTTTTATTAAAAAACTCAACGCACTTCTTAGTGTCGCAACTCTACAAATGACACATATAGCATTAAGTACTTAACATATTTTTTTTATCTTTTCAATTACTTATATTGCATACATTACATACACATTATATACATACATTACATACATTTTATATACATGTGGCATTTTTTATATACATATTTTATATGCGAAACAATATTAAATTTGCTGTATAAACTATTAAATTTGTTGCAAATATATTGCACGTATTAAAAAAAATTTATTTTATTTTTTATAGCGAACTATTTAACTACGCCTTCTGTGGATGATCTCTTATTTGGATCTCCAGTTCGCCAATTAAAAAATGATAATCAGCAAAGTGATATTGATATCCTCTCTGAAGTACTTTCCAATCAATCCTTAGGTATTAGTGATAGCGAATATAACAGTTCTTTTTCTTCGCAATGGCAATCTCTGTTTGGTGCAAAAGATTCTAAAACATCTATGAATGAAGTTGCTCCTGCAATGGGTGGAAATATTGACCCTGGCATGAAAAGCAAAATGTTTATGCCGTCTTTCTTGTTATCTCAAATGAGGCAAGTGGATCCTATTGCGATGAGTCAAGGCGGGGCTCCTAAAGATATAAACTCTGTTAAAGATAATTCCAAAGCTGAACGTGCGCAACCAATTAAACTTGCTAAAGCTAAAGAAAATGATAAAAAAGGAAAAGATATGTCTGCCTGGTTCAACTTGTTTGCCGATCTTGACCCATTGGCCAATCCCGATGAAGTAGATGGAACGGTTAAAGGAAAGCAAGCTTGTTAATGTTTTATTGTCTGTAATACTACATGTATATTGCTTGCAATAAGAAGCATCGATTTGCTTGAATCTGCATGCATAAATAGAATGTGCACCATAGAAAATAAGGATTTGATTGGGGAGGAAACAAAGTTTAAATATGGTATATAATTTTGAAGAATCAAATTCTATATAGAAAACCTTACAGTTTTTCCGAGACATATTTTTCAAAATGTGCATACAAGACAAACTTGTAATCTTATTAATAAGATAACATAATTGATACTCGTATCGATAAGATATCGTTTGTCCTATCGAAAAGAATTTCCTTTTTTGTTGAATCGTATATATTATATATTTTAGAGAAATATCTTTTTATATGAAAGACATTTCTATTTATTTATTATATTACACGCTTTATGTAAAAAGCTTATTTTTAATAAAATCAATAATTAAAATGAATTTTTTTACTTTAAAAATTTTGTATGCTTTTAAAAGTGCATATGATAAGCTAAAGTGAATTACCTTGTCATAACTAGAGTCACATTAAACTATACACTGGATAAAATAGAAATAGCCCCACCTTGTACTTTCAATATTTTTTAAATCTCTAAGCAAGTTTGTACGGTACATATTTTATATCCACACATAAAATTCTTGTTACAAAAAATAACTTTTTAGATTATAATATAGCATAAATTGTGGTACATTTGATAAAAACATAAAATGTATAACACTTAATATTTGTGGTAATTAGCCTCAATAGTTATCTTTAATAATTATCTTCAGTTAGCCTCAATAGTTATCTTCAGTTTACTTGTATACTATATAGATCTGGTGAATCACATTTGTAACTTAATTTTTTAAAATTATTTGTAGTTAAGGTGAGTTTCCACTCATCCGTTTTGACACTGGTACGGAAAAGGGAAGGAAAAAATGATCACGTGGGCATGTGTATTATAAGTTTTAATTTGTCCGAAGTAAAGCTGCGCATGCTCAAGTGATTATTCTTTCCTTTCCTATCCCTTTCCCGTAGAAAAACGGATGAGTGGAAACTCATCTTTAAATAAAGACTATGAAATCGGCGCTCATAAAGTTTTTAACAATTGGTTTTTGATACCTGAATACGAAATGGGACGTGGTAAGCGTTTAACAAATAAAGAAACAGCAGTGTTAGCAGCCGTGGCGCAGTGGTAGCGCACTTGTCTAAGAAACGTAATACCCGTGGTTCAAACCCCACCTCTGGGCAATTTTAGCGACATCGGTTGGAAAGGAGGCGTGAACTTCCTATTAAATGCTCTTCCGCGGTGCTCTGTGATAAGACCGTAAGGACTTCTTGGGGCACCTTAATCAACTTAAAAAAACAAAAAATGTTTTGAAAAGTTTATGAAAATGGTAAGCAATTTGAATCCATATTGGGTATATATATATATATATATATATATATATATATATATATATATATATATATATATATATATATATATATATATATATGCAATTCCATATTTAACTTACTTTACACGCGCAACAACTTTATCAAATATTTGACTATTTAAACTGTAAATTAAACCTTTAGATATTTTGTATGAAAGTTTTTAGTCTATAATATAAAATAAGCTAAAAAATTTGGAGTCTGGCCGAGAAAGGGTGAACTTATTGCTGAAAATGCCACTTAACTTTCGTTACACAGAAAACAAAGTAAAAAAATTGCTTCAACTTTTAGGTCAGATTTCTGCGAATTAGTCAAGCAGTTTGTATTAGAAACTTATAAAAGATGTTAAGAATTTTATACCAATTTAAAAATTATATAAAGGTTTATCAGAGGTGACCGGCTAAGGAAAATAAACTTGATTTTTTGATACTATGTATATAACTTACGTTACATCTCTTACGTTACCTTGCGATTTTTATCCTGGAATTTTATATCTATAATAGACGTATCCTGCATTCCAATGACGTAATGATGTAATGACATCAGGCAATGATAAAACGTAAATATCGAAATAATTGTTTAAAAAATGAACTCTCAAGTAGAAGATGCTCTGATAGATACAAAATTATTCAACTAAAATACCAATTGTTTTAGAAATAAATAGGAATTTAAATATTTCACCTAATTTTAAATCTGCAGATAAAACTTTAACTTGGTGTAAAAGTTTAAAATACTTGCTACTATTCACTATTAAAGAAATAGAAAACTACAGAAAAAAAAAAGCTAAAAACAAAAATATTGCAATAAAAAAAACGTTTGAAAGAGGTAAAAGATTTAAATCTGAACGATATATATCATCAGATAGTATTTACACTTCGTGTAACCTAACGTGTATCATAGTAAAAGCAAAATGCAAAGCAAGCATGAAAAATGAAGTTCGTGATTTAAAAGTTTAAATTAGCAGATTGACTAGCTCTGTTAGAAAAGCATATTGCTCATGCCCTGCTGGAAATAGTGGTTATTGTAATCATGTGATGGCTTTGTTATTTGAACTTGCAGAATATGTACCTAAAGAGATTGCTTGTACAAGTAAATCAAGGCAATGGGGCATTCTAGGTCATAAAACTAAAAAAATTAAAAATCCTGTTATGTTTACAAATGTTCAAAAATTTGAATTTAAGCGTGGCATTATAGCTACTTTATATGATCCAAGACGAATAAAGTGTAAAGAAGAAACTTTAAAAGGAAATATTTGCAATCTAAAATCAAATGTTGCTTTTTTCAATAAAGATATAGGTATTGTTCATTGCGTACCTGATATTTTTAGTTTTACTTTGCGTTTAGTTTTTAGTTTGCGTACCTGACATTTTTAGATTTACTAAAACATCGTCTGGAAATTTTCCAAATGGTTCTCCTTTATCTTATCAACTCCAGATAAATGAGAGTTTTGATTTTATCACTAATATTGAAAAACTTGAAGCAATTTCTTTTAATGTGTCTAATACCCTGCCTCCTTTACCTCTTGGCTTTTATAATAAAAATCATTGCTATATACCTCGCAATTGGAAGCTTAATGAGAAACAAAACGATTTTTTGTTATCAATAAAAGTATGTTCTGAACAAAGCAGAAAGTATGAAGCTGATACACAAAATATGAAAGTATGAAGCTGATACAGTTACACAAAATAAAAATCAGCTTTGGTTTAATCTAAGAAAATATCGCTTAACTTCAAGTACTTCTCATAAAATTTATATACGCAAAAGACAATTTGAAACTCTTGCTCATCAGTTAATTAGTAACACACAAAAAGTTGATTTGCCTAAATTTATTCAAGAGTCTTTAGAACACGGGCTTGCTTATGAGCCACATGCACGAGAGAAATATATTGAAGTTTTGAAAAATAGATTAAATCGCAATATTTCAGTTAGGACAACTGGAATTGTAATACAACCTAACTTATTTTGGTTATCTGCAAGTCCGGATGGTCTTGTATATGATGAAGAGGCAAAAAAAAAAAAATATTTTATGAATAATTAAAAAAAAAAATTGAAATTAAAACTTCTTCACTTTTTTAATGAAATTTATTACAAAAATAACGTCTTTTATTACCCATGTGGCGGTCCTGTTAATAAACATAAATAAGAAACCTGTATATTTTTAGATAATATATGCAGTATACTTCATTTAAAAAAAAATAGAAAATTAATTTTATAATGTTTTAAAAAATTTTAAATTAAGACCAATTTTTTGAGGTTTTGCACCACTGTGCGTCGGTTTGACAAAGTTGAAACTTTTCATATTAGGAGAATTTAGAAAAAAAAAAAATTTTATTTAATATTAATCAAAAATATTTATATTATTGTTTCTTTTATTTGTTTATGTATTCTTAATTTGGTTCACATATAAATATACATAAATGATAAAAAATAAGAATTATATAAAATAGACCTTAAAAAAAAAAAAAAAAAAAAAGAGTAATTTGTTATTCTTAGGAGAAAAAATCAGTTAAAACCTTTTTATTTTTGTTTTCGTAAAACAATTCGTTTGTAAATTCAATTAAGGGGTCACCCATAAAGCACGTCATCATATATTTGTTAATTGTTAACCCCGTCCCACCTGTCACAAACAATCACATATATCCTCTCCCGCCTAAAATATAATAGCAGTTTTTATGTCAAAAATATTTTAAAAGCTTTAAATGTAAATACTTTGCAGCATTTTAAAAATTCAACCTAATGAAAATAAGGCAATATGCATAAACGTAAGAAGTGTAAGTAAAAACTTCGACAAACCAAAGATTTGCTTGTTTAAATAACTCAAATAAGTAATAATAAAGTTGTAATACTATAATAATTTTTTGAAGTTGCTCTTTGTCTTGTGGAAAAACTGTTTTTGATTTGTTAACTTTTATGAATGTTATAAAAAATCACTCAGGAAGAGTGCCAACAGTTTTTTTAAATTTCTTTTGTTAATTCTTTTAAATGAGTGACTTAAATACTTTTGCGATTCTTTTGTTACGTAACTCTAACTCTTAATTGACGTATTCCGCATTCAAATGACGTAATGATGTAATGACATCAGGCAATGATAAAGCGTAAACATTATAAAATTGTAGTTTTTATTATTTCAAATTAACATGAGTGATTTTGCCTGTTCTACATTAACTAAAGGAGGAGGAAGTGGAGCTTAATGGATTATTCCACAATGCAAAAGTTCATTTTACGATTTTCAAAAAAAAAGTCAGGAATTGGATTTTTTACCCAAGAATACTGCTCGTCGAAATAAGTAGGCAAAAATTATTTCTCAATTTAGAAGAAAAGGTGGTAAATATGCACAGGTTAGGTAATCAGGCAAAAACTGGTCCAAAAACAAAATTAAACACAGAAAATCAGTTATTTATGTTTTTAGTGTGGCTAAAAAATGGATTTACAATTTTGCACACATCTTGGTAATTTAAAATTTCAAAATCAACAACATCTCGTTATTTAATAACATGGACAAACTTTCTATATTTTTTTTTAGGAAGTGTACCTATTTGGCCTTCACGCGAACAAGTTAATAAGTTTATGCCAGAAAGCTTTAAGATGACATTTCCATCAACAAGATGCATTATTGATTGCACTGAACTGTTTTCTCAGAAACCTTCATCACTGAGACACCAGAGTTCTTTATTTTCTAGTTATAAACATCATGTAACTTACAAAGGATTGTTAGGTATTTCTCCTTCAGGAGCAATAACTTTTATAAGTCAACTTTATGATGGATCTAATTCTGACAGAGAAATTGTTGTAAGATCAGGTTTCCTTAATAAAGAACTATGGAACAAAAATGATTCAGTTATGGCTGATCGTGGGTTTACCATTTCAGACAATTTAAACACAATCAATGTTAAATTAAATATATCATCTTTTTTAAATGGACAACTACAGCTAAGTAAAGAAGATGCTACAGAAAGTCAAACCATTGCATCATTGAGAATTCACGTAGAACGTGCTATTCGTAGGATTAAAGTATTTCGCCAAATAAATAATGAAATTCCTTTGGTGTTTCATGGTTCAATTAACCAACTATGGACAGTAACTTGTCTTTTATGTAACTTTTTGCCATCACTTATTAAAAAATAAGATCAAAAGTAAAAACATTTATTTACATATAGAGGGTATTATGCTTTCTTTGGTATTTACATTATTGTCCAATACTTGTGGTAAAAAATAGTTAATGTAAAAATTATTTAACTTAGTAATTAATTTAAAAAAGAACTGATTGTCAAAAGGTGTGACACAACAAAGTCACAAAACTGGGAATTACTTAACCCCATTGCCATTTGTATTTGTGTATAATAACCAGTATTATGATCTTTTTTTAAATGTGGGTGTCCATTGTCTAATCCAATATAAAAATCATTATCATTCAAACATTCGGAAATAGATAAAAGCTTTTTCATTCTAGGACATTTAATTTCAATTAAACCATAATAATATTTAGTCAGTATGTTTAAAATATCTTAACTTCTACGTCAAAAAGATTTCACTTCATAAAGTGAAAAAAAACTTTCAAAAATTAGTATAAAAAAATGCAAAAAAATGCAATTTTTTGTAATTTTGAATTCGCTGTTCGTTTAAAAGGCATCCTTCTCAAGCTAATCTAACTCAATCTATATTGAGTTCTGGTTGTGGTAATACCTCATAAAAAAAATTCAGCTACATATATTCATCCTTTATGATAAATTTTTCGCTACTAACACGCAACCTTTTTTTTGCTCTAATATTCTCAATTTATAATTCGTATAAAATAAATATAAGTGCAAAAAATTTAAAATTTTTTATAAAAAGCAATAATTAAGTCATGTTGCTAGGTTAAAAAAATTTACTTTTTTGTTTTAAATGATATCATACGTTCTTATTTTTATCGTAAATTTTTTGAAAAAACGCATTTTTTAATGTATTTTATTTATACCGCCCGAGGGGTAGAAACATTTTTTTTTCCTATACTACAAATGGTATATGACACTCATATAAAAAATCAGTTCAAATTAATAAGTTTTTTAGTTTTTATAACAATTTTAAATAAAGTGCTTTTTTTTAGTGGATTATTACAAGGCCTGAATAATAGACTTGATAAATATATTTATCAATATTGTTAATATAATTCTTTATAAGTTTTTTTGTAACCCCTAGACAAACTAAATGCATGTAGTCAAGTACAAATCCAGTCACCATCGGAATTTCAAGTTTGGATAATGGTGATTTACCAATCTGGTGCTCTGAATAAAATTTTTCTTTAAACTTTTTATCATCTCGTATTAAAGACTTGGTACCTAACAATCTTATACCTTTATGATACTCACCATGTTCTTCACATCTTTCACAACTGTCATATCCACTATGACTTTTTATACATTTTAAAAATGCTCTGGCTGGTGCGTCACATACAAACGCCTTAATTATCACTTTTAGGCCTTCATACCCATTTATAAAATAGAATTTTAACTCTGCAACAAATTTTTTGAGGTATTCTCCGAGAACTGTAGGTTTTCCTGTACCATACCATAAAGCAATTGCATATGGACCTCGTTGGTTTATAGTACACAATATAGGCCACATTTGTTTTTTTTTACTATTGTATATCTGAGTGCCATCAACATTTATAACAAGATCAAAATCTGCTGGCTTTCTAAAGCATTTTACATAATTGTTGAGTGCAATTTTTAAAGAAATATAAACAAAATCACCTCCAGCAACGTTTTCAACATCCACACTTCTTAAAGTATTTTTTAAAGATGTCCCACTTTTAGGAATGTCTTTCATGAAAGAGTTCAAATGAGTCAAAAGCTCGTTTAACGGTTTAGATTTTATATTATTTTCAACAGCCCATTTATGAAGAAAATTTCGAGTCTTGACAGATTGAGGAACCTCACTTTCTGCATTATCAATTTTTTCACTATATCCTACTACTTCATCATCTTCTTTATCGTCGTCTTTTTTACCTTCTTCCTCTTCGTCGTCGTTTTCATTAGTTTCTTCTTCGTCGTCTTCTTTACATTCTTCGTCGTCGTCGTCTTCTTTACCTACTTCTTCTCCGTCTTCTTTCCCTTCTTCTTCTTCGTCATCTTCTTTCCCTCCTTGTTCTTCTTCATCATCTTCTTTACCTTCTTCTTTGTCATCTTCTTTACCCTCCTCTTCTTCATTGAACAACTTTTTAAAACTTCTATAATCTCTCATGTAGCTTTTCATATAGTGCTTAAGCTTGTTATCTGCCATTTTTTATTGAGAACTATTTTCGTGTTTTGATATATTACTAAACCGTCACTACTTAATACGCATTGAATCACCGCTTACATAAAATCATATTGATTTTTGCGTATAAAAAAGTTATGTGTTAGTAGTGATAGAGTGGTGATTGAATGACGATCACTAGTGATCACCACTTAATCACCGTTGAGCAGTACTAAATCACTAGTGATGCGCGCATAGGGTAGTGATGTTGATTTGCCTGAGTACTATTATAACTGAGTACTATTATAATTAATATTAATTAACTAACTGTAATTTCAAGTAAATTAATATTTTGATAATTGTTATTTTTATATAAATTCATAAATATTATTTTTGTCTTTGTACCATAATCTTATTCATAATATATTTTTTATATAACTGATTAAAATAGAAAATTTGTTTCTGTGGAAATAAATAAAGCGATTCCAATAATACTCAAAAAATTGCTGTTAACAATTGCCAAATGCATCAAAAGTACTTGACTTTAAATCTGTTATAAAAACTAAAAAACTTATTAATTTGAACTGATTTTTTATATGAGTGTCATATACCATTTGTAGTATAGGAAAAAAAAATGTTTCTATCCTTCGGGCGGTATAAATAAAATACATTAAAAAATGCGTTTTTTCAAAAAATTTACGATAAAAATAAGAACGTATGATATCATTTAAAACAAAAAAGTAAATTTTTTTAACCTAGCAACATGACTTAATTATTGCTTTTTATAAAAAATTTTAAATTTTTCGCACTTATATTTATTTTATACGAATTATAAACATTGAGAATATTAGAGCAAATAAAAGGTTGCGTGTTAGTAGCGAAAAATTTGTCATAAAAGATGAATATATGCAGCTGAATTTTTTTTATGAGGTATTACCACAACCAGAACTCAATATAGATTGAGTTAGATTAGCTTGAGAAGGATGCCTTTTAAATGAACAGCGAATTCAAAATTACAAAAAGTTGCATTTTTTTGCATTTTTTTATACTAATTTTTGAAAGTTTTTTTTCACTTTATGTAAGTGAAATCTTTTTGACGTAGAAGTTAAGATATTTTAAACATACTGACAAAAAAAAATTATTTTATGAATAATTAAAAAAAAAATATTGAAATTAAAACTTCTTCACTTTTTTAATGAAAATTTATTACAAAAATAACGTCTTTTATTATCCATGAGGCGGTCCTGTTAATAAACATAAATAAGAAACCTGTATATTTTTAGATAATATATGCAGTATACTTCATTTAAAAGATATAAAAAATTAATTTTATAACGTTTTGAAAAATTTTGAGTTATGGCCATTTTTTTGAGGTTTTGCACCACTGACGAAATAAGAATTACTTAGAGGCGTAATTCATTTTGTTAATGGAAAAGCGCCAGAACTAGTAAATGCAAGTGGTTTTAACTTACGTAAAATAAAAATGTGCCTTAACTATGCATCCTTTTTAAAAGCTTTAGATGCAAAAACCTAACATTTAATATTCTTTCGCATATATCATTAAGAAACTTGAATTTTTTGTTTCCAATGTCAGATTGGAAAAGGCCCCAAAATTTTGATCGCTGGAAGGCGATCAAAATTTTGATCAAAATCACAAACAATTCATCATCATTAATTGACAATATCTTTACTACTGACTTTTTTAATGTCGCTTAAAAAGGGTATATTAAAAACAGATCTTTTTGATCATTTCCCTATATTTTTCTCATTAGAATTAAACGTAAAAAAAGAGAACCATGTAAAAATTTCAATAAAAAAACGGCTTTTCAGTATTAATAATTTGAATTCCTTTAGAGAGCAGTTAAGATCAATTTTTCAAAACTTTTTATGCAGCTTATGATTCAAACTTTCCTTTACGTGAAATAGTCTTAAAAGCCAAAGAGATATCACCTCCTTGGATTACAAAGGGTCTCATAAAATCCTCAAAAATTAAACAGAAGTTATATGTTAAATACCTAAATAATATCGATGCTACTTCCACAAAAATTGCAAAATGCATCGGAATTCTTTATAAAGCAAGAAATATTTTAAGTAAACATCAGTTAACACAATTGTATTATTCATTTATTCATTGTCATATAAACTATGCAAATAGTATATATGGAAGCACCGATAAGACAAGGCTTAAATCTCTTTACTTTCGTCAGAAACACGCAGTTCGTGTAATAAAGTTTTAAAAATCAAAACAACTTTTTAAAGAAATGAATATTTTGAATGTGTACCAACTAAATGTTTTTAATATTTTGTGCTTTATGTTTAATGTAGAGAAAATTTGTCACCAACTGTATTTAAAAATATTTATAATTTGAAACAGAAAAACAAATTTTTTAAAAATGTTATAACACAAAAATTACACAAAGTGAAAGAAACGGTTTGGCCCCATTGTGAGGCACAACCGCACCCTACTAAAAATCGTTGGGAATATGCTTCTCTTGGTACATTTTCTTTACAATTGTCACAGCTCAGATTATTTGCTGATTTTATTGTTGTTGTTTTTTTACGTTTACATACTGAGTAGGCATTGTTTGTATTTACAGTTTGAGTTTTCTCATTCGATATACTCTTAGCTTTATATGTTATTCAAAAACTTGTATATAAAAAATAAACAAAATAATACGAAATCTATTTTTCAACATCTCAAAACAAAACTATTTCTATTCAAGTTTTTACGTGAATGCATTCAAGTGTGACGATTGTATTTACTGCTATTCGTAATTAGCTAACTTTGATAAAAATTAAAACTTTTAATACTTATTTTTAAGTTTAAATTTAAAATTTTTAATATTTAATTTTAATTTAAAAGTATGCAGTTGTGTCTCCTATGCGATTAAGCGGTTCTACCTCACAGGACAGTTTTTAGAAAAAATAAAGTTTCATAGTCTGCTTATTAAGTTATTAAACCAAAAATGGTTTTCACTTGATGAAATAATGCTGATAACACATATATTTAACACTAAAATCAAATATTGCTTAACCTTCAAAAAAAGGCCTGAAAAA